TGGTTGTTTCCTAAATAAAAAGGATTTGGTTCATTGACCAAATTCCTATTTGGTAGTTTCCATTTATTGTTAAGAGGATTTTTAGGTGATTTGTTATTATCTCTAGGATATCATGGGATTTGCCAAATTTGATGTTTTAGGTATATATATCCTCTTGTACTCTAGAAAGTTTCTTAAGAATTCATAAATAAAATTCTCATGAATTTCTTCAAAAAGAAAACCTACTGATCAAAGCTAAGAATACAAAAAAAATTGATTTTAATCTAACTCACCAAAACACGATTTATTGAACACCAGTTTTTGTTTAGAGATGTATGAACAAATTTGGCAGCAAAGCTTGTGGATGGATTATCTAAATAGGCAGCTGTAGGCAAACCTGCATGAAGGACCAACAGCAGATACATGTTTACATCTGACAATTCATAATCCAGAAAACAAAAACAAGACTATAAAGATAAGCATGTTCACTAACATTAATTGCTGCTGCTGGAGAGGTTGCAATGTTGTCCTGTCCCATGAACCCCACTGCCACATAAGAATCTGCAGAGCCATTTGTATTAGACTGCATGTAGGAAAAAATCCATTATAGATTCAAAAGGAAAAAAAGATTTGAGATTGGTATCAATAGAAGAGAACATGCAACATAAACATATATACAGTAACAACTATGGTTGAGATACTCATAATCTTATCTGTATTTATAGAATTTATTCATGAATCATGAATTGAATAGTGATGATAGGTGTAGTTGGTTGATATTGGTCCAAAAAGTAATAAAAAGGGGCTTAGTCTGAGCAACTAGGAAATCATAACCAGTATTTCAGGACATCAACTTAATATTGTCCCCATGAAGCACTAAAAGGCAGAGCTGAACATCACACATGAATGACAATGAAGCAAACCTAAGATCTTTTGCCTCTACAATTAGTTGGATTCTCCAGACCACTAGGAAACAGTGAAACACAACTAATACATAATAATCTTTAGCAAGTTGTGGATAAGAATAGTGCCAGAAAACTTTATAAACTTCTAAGCTACAAGCGTCAAGCAAATTGAACAATGAACTTGAGCAAAAACTTAAGGAGGAAAAAAGCAGGCTAAGTTCTAGGTTGGGAAATCAATGACCATGTTGGTAATGTGCAGACAACAACCATAAGGATGATAGAAGTGACATTTAAGCCCATCCAACAACAAATATAAGAATCCGTGTCAATAAGAACCACCAATCTGACCACACAACTGCTTATATAAAAAGATACTAAAAAGCATATGAAAACAACCAAATATGAAAAAATCACCTGCATATACCACACAACAGTGCTTGTAACAATCAACAGCCCTCCTTTAGGTCAGCTTTCTCATTCTTTTGGCATGAGCTGAAAGAAATATTTCATTAAAAAAAAATAGAAGAATCTTTCAGAACAACTAAAATTCAGATAGCTAATTTCAACTGAATTGGGACTCATCCTCTAAACCTGCAGTAGCCATAATTTTAGACCTAGAGGCTTACCATAAGACAAGGCTCACGATGCAAAAACAACCTCAAAGTGTAAATCCTTGAGGCTTACAACCATAAGCAGCAAACTGCAATAAAAGCCTAAGGTATAAGAACTTCAAGTATCCTCACACATCAATTTGGTAGACAAATTTACCTAGATTTTGGTAATCACTAGTTTTGACTGAGATACACACACACACACAAAAGGAGAGGTTCTAGTATTAAAAAAATAATGCAGATAACCAATAGCTCAAAAAAGGTCAAGCAAATATTGTTAAAATCGGATATTATTAAATAACAAGAAAATCCAAATTTGTGGTCTTTCTGTAATGTTGGACTTATACGGTATCTTACCAGAGATAAACTACACATTAATAATATAACAAGGTCTTATTTTATGTTTTCTAAATATAGAAGCCTACTGGTTTATTTGACTTGCATCATCTTAAGTTCTAAGAACCAAGGTTGAATATTTGTTGGAAATTGCAAATTTGAAGTCCCTAAGTCTTATTTTCAGTACCTATGAGTTATATGTTATTAGGCTTACATGTAAGGTTTAGGAATTATTTTATGGCTATTTTGGCAGTTTCCCATATTTGATCCTGACTGTTCTGTGGGATTACAATTTATAGAACCTTCCATAGCTTGTAAACTTCTACAATTTAAGCTCCGTTTGGCTGATGCTTTTGCTACTTCCTTTTTACAATTTTTCATTTTGCTTCTTGAAAATTTGCTAAAGCAAAAGGTAAAAAGCAGCCATAATTAATAAAAACACACAAATAAAAATTTTCACACCAATTATAATATAATTACTCTATGTAGAAGTAAGATAATGTATTTGTTATCTAAAAGATTACATTTTCTTTTATCTATAATCTTTCAAAAGTATCATTGGCTTTTGTATTCAAATGCACTTTTTTACTTATTTTTACTCCGGAAACAAAAAGCAAGTAGCTAAACCACCAACAAAACAGAACCTAAATAACTTGTTTACTAGAATTCCAGTAGCAATTATGCTTCCCTTAGGAATCTCTAAAGCAACCCTAACCTAGTTGTGAAGCCTCTCAACCTTAAGTGCACTCTCCCCCTTCTTCTACCAAATTCCAGATGTGTTTCATGTATGCAATCACCTAACGTTTGAATTTCAAGAATTAAATAACTACTTCTCAATAGAATTTTTACGATGCCCAATAATTTGAACTAAAAATATACAAAATACAAAATTGTAAACAAAAGAGATTGAGAATTATTATTCTACCGTCATAAGGCGGAAGCTGAGGAGGAGGAGCAAGGTGGTGATCCTCCGAGTTAAGAGTAGTTGAAGAAGCTGAGGGCTGCCGCATCATTTTGCGGAGGCGTGGCGCAGGATTCAGGAACTCTTCCCCTTGCGGAGACGACTGGTTCTGCTGCTGTTGTGGATCACCGTACATCATTTTCAAAAAGCCAGAGGAAAGCCCTAAATGGTAAGGCGGTAAAGAATTGTAGTGAGTGGATTTGCAGAGAACGAGATAGAAACCCTAAACCCTAAATTTTTTATGGATTTGGGAGTGGGAAAGGGAGTCTTGATATTTTAGTATTCCTAAAAAGGAAAAATAAATTAAATAGGGTTTTGGGTTTGTTGACCCATTAATGAAAATGGAATATGGTCTTCAGCTAGGCCAAGCAAGTTTTAAGAAGACGTTGGAGTTCGACTTCAGCCTTCCCTCTTTCATTTTTATTTTAGGGCTCTACTCCCATTAAAACCCAAAAAAAAAAAAAAAGGGATATGATTCGTACGGTAACCCAAACGGCTCAATCCGATATCATTTTCTTTTATAAAAACATAAAATTAAAGATAGTTTTTTATAATAATAAATTAAAGAAAAATTATTTAATAGTATGACAGTAAATTTTTTTAAATTTTATAAATAAAATTAAAATGATAATATATGTTTTATTTTTTAAATATACACTTCAAAATATATGTTATTATTTTAATCTCGTTTATAAAATTAAAAAATTTTATTATCAGTTTATTAAATAATTTTTTAAAATTGAATAAATTTAAGTCTTTTTTTTAAACAAAAATAAATTTAAACCTAAATTAAATAGAATATAACGAGAGATCTATACAAAACATTATATCTATTTAAATGCATTTAAATAATTTCTTCACCTAATGAAAGTGTATATAAGTATATGTAATGAATTTATAATCATGAAATCAACTCGATTTGAATGATGGAAGTTAAAATATGATAAATTTTTAAAAAGATCACAAGTTTGGCTGGACATTGAACATCTTTTCAAATTCTACCCTTATCTTATATTATTTTTATTATATATTTATTATATTATAATATAAGTGAATGTCTTTATTATTGAATTTTTTAAATAAATTAAAATATTTGCATATTGAGGTGATTGTCCATATAAAATTTTTTATTTGTTTTAACCAAATTATCTAGGAAAAGGATTAAATTGAAACAACTTAAAAAGCATTAAGATTGAAAGGAAGTAATTAAGTGATTAATACCATGAGAAACATACTAAAAAAGAAAGACAAAATTTGTTAATATTATTAAGATTCTTTTATATTTATCAGATAAGTATTATAATTAAAATTAATTAATTTATTATTTTGAGCTATACACCACTAGATATAGTTGAGCTATACCTTGCCGAAACTCATTTCATTTTCCATCAAGACATGCAAATTATGTTCTCTTTTCTCCACTTTTATACATTTTCCATCAATATATCATTTACTAATGTAGAACTTTCCATCAATATTCCATCCATAAGAAGAAGAAATAAAGTTGTAATTCAATATGTATATGATATTAGAAGAGTACTATGATTCTAAGAATTGTAAACATTGCAGTCGCTCAAGGAACAGAAATGCTAACTATTTATGGAACAAAGGTGACCACTGCAAACTTTTCTTCAACCATTGCATTAAATTAGCAGTATGGTCATAAACCAGATTATGATATATGTTACTTAAATGATAAAAGAAAAAAGAATTCTTTCTTTTCCATTCACTTCAACTCAACCTTTCAAGTTAATTTTGAAGCTCATTTATATGAAGAAACTCATCCTCACTGTAATTCAATCTACCAGGCTAGCCATTAGTCTCTCCAAATCTGATTCCATCGTTCCAGCTATTTACGTCATCCAACTCCCTTGCATCAAGCCAGCTAAAATCTGTATTCTTCATAAGTTCATCTTCAATTCCAGATTCTGCTACGAGCTCCTTATTTACTCCAGATGTGCTATCACACTTGTCAATGCATTGCCAATTAGCCCTGACATCTTGAATTTTATTTTCTCTCAGCTTCATTGTGCCACTTTTTGATGGAGCTTCAGTTTTCCTGACAAGCATACTCATTCTACATTCACCTTCACTCGAAAGGAACAATCCACCATTATTGCCTCCTGTAGGTTCCAATCCATCATTATTCCAGCCACTGATTTCATTAAAATCCAGTCCATCAAGCCAGCTAAAATCTAAGTCCTCCAAATGGTCAACTTTAGTTCCTGTCTCTGGTATAATCAGCTCCCTTATTTACTCCAGATGTGATATCACACTTGTCATTGCATTGCCAATTAGCCCTGACATCTTGAACTTTATTCTCTTCTCTCAACTTCATTGTGCCACTGCTGGTTGATGGAGCATCGGTATCCTTGACAAGCTTCATTCTACATTCACCTACATTCGAAAGGGCCAATCCACCATTATTGCCTCCTGCAGGTTCCAATCCATCATTATTCCAGCCACTGATTTCATCAAAATCCAGTCCACCAAGCAAGCAAAAAACTGATTCATTTAAAGGGTCATCTTTAGTTCCAGATTCTGGTACAAACAGCTCCTTGTTCACTCCAGATATGATATCACAATTGTAATCGTATTCCCAATTAGCTCTGCCATCTCGAAATTTATGCTCTCCTCTCAGCTTCTTTTTGCCACTTGTTGAGGAAGCTTCAGTATCCCGAGCAAGTAGATTCATTCTAGATTCACCTTCATTCAAAAGAGTTGCAACTAAGGAAGATTCCTTTGAGCAACTATTGCCACTTTCAGATTCCAATCCACCATTATTCCAGCCACAAATTTCATCTAAATCCAGTGCATTAAGCCAGCTAAAATTTGAGTCCTTCAAAGGGTCATCTTTAGTTTCAGACTCTGGTATAATCAGCTCTTTTTTTAATTCAGCTATGATATCAGTGTCACATTTTTCATCCCAATAAGGCCTGATGTTTTGAATTTCATTCTCCACTGTCGAAGGAGTTTCCTCATTCAGGTTTAACGTTACCAATGAAACCAGATCCAATATCGTTTCACCTGAAGATAGACAACCCGAAGAAACAAGTGGGAGATTGAGGATTGCAGAATCGCCATACAAGACCCTAGCAGCTTCATCATAAGCCATGGCGGCCTGGAAAGCAGTAGGAAAAGTACCAAGCCAAAGCCTACCAGCCCTACTTTTAGGTGCTCGAATTTCAGCCACCCACTTACCCCAAGTCCTCTGCCTAACACCTCTATACTTACAGCTCTGATTTTCAGGTCCTCCTTTCCCTTTCACACAACCCTTTTTCGAACCCTTTGCAGGAGGGTTTCTACTCGTTGCTTTCCCTTCTTCATTGTGTTGTTTCCACACGTTGAGAATCTCAGAAATAGAAAAACCATCACGCCTCTTTCTCTTCCTCCAAGGCTGATCAGGATTCATCACCACCCCATTACCCATCTAGCGTTTCTTCTATGGGAATGTATGTCAATGGTGTTTATTACAGTAAAAACTAAGGAAAACGAAAAACAAAGCCAAAAGCCTAGCTAGAATCTATGGGAGTTGTCTTCTGGTGTTGTACGTATAAATATAACCGCCTAAGCCCTAAGGTGGTGAGTTAACATTTTCTTTGATTTTTCCAGGTGTATAGCAACGGTCAAGATGATTGACAAGATCTTTTGAGGACACGTGTAATATTTCTAATCTAGTTACTTAAAGATTAAGTTTCCGTGTCCGTGGCTAATTTTTTTTTTTTTTAATAAACTCGTGTCTAATATTTGGTACGTTATTGTAAGAGTTTTTTTTTTTTTAATTTATCTTTAAATTTGTTTATTATTTAATTAATTGAAGAAGACATCCATTGCATTTACTATTAAAAATTATAAAAAAATATAAAGTTTTGTGGTACCATTGACTCAACCTAATTGAAATAAAATCTTTGATTTTTTTTCCTTTAAATTGTAAAGATAATTGAGAAGGAAATTTTGTTTTCTTTTTTCTTGCACCCAAACAAATGTTAAAGTGAAACAATGAAACTTTAATTCTTCAAATTTAGTTTTCCTTATACTAATCTTTATTACTACACTTAATATGTATCTATAAGTTATCAAATTTGTTTAATAGAAATTCAAGTAAGAACTAGTAATTTGAATAAAAAAAATACTAATTGCATCACGATAATTTTTCAAAGTTTTTATTAGGTTAAAATATTAAAAAATTCCTAAACTATTTTATTTTTTAAATAAATTTTTATATTTTTATTGTATACAAATAAGTTTTTATTGTTTCATTTGTAATAAAAACGTTTGCATTTCAAATGAAAGAATGACTTCTAATATGATAAACACCTATTGAATTTTTTTTATCCATATAAAAATTTATTTAATTTGACAACGTGATTTAAAATTTTAAAAATATATATATATATTTGATACATAAAAAGATGTTTTTTCTTGCTTTTCTTTTTTATCTAATGTTTTCTTTTATTTTTTTTTTTTATTCTTCATCTCTCAACTCGAATCCATTCCAATTAAAATCCAATTGAATCAAGCCGGTCAAGGTAAGTTATAAAGTTGATAAAATTGAAAATAATATCAAAATTAAGCAAAACAACCTAAAATATGTTTGACCTGACTTGAGCTTTGAATTTTTTTTTTTTCAAGTCATATCAGTCAATTTTAAGGACATTTATGCTTTCGGTGGTCCGAAATATGACATCCATTGCCGTACTCCAAAAGAATAATGGCTTGAACATGTATAAATAAGAGATTAAATGAGAATAAAAAGAGAAAAAAAAGTAATAAAAAAAAGGATATAGCTTTACAACAAAAGTACAAAGAAAACAATGATCATAACGATTTTTTAAAATTATATTTGTCATAGTAAACATGTCAAAATCATCTATGACATGTAATAAAGCAAATAAAACATAACTCATGCTTCAAAAAAAAAAAAAAAAAGCCATTAGTAATGCATATGAACTTCAAACTCAAAAAGTGGTTTGGAAACCTAATACAAAAAAAGATCATATATTAGTGCATATAAATGAGCTCTTGCCTAAACTCATCTCATGTTGCTTCAAGATGTATACAAACTCTATTTCTTCCTCCTTTTATATCCATTTTCCATCAAGGTATCATTTGCTCATGTAGAACTTTCCATCAATATTAAATCCATAAGAATAAGAAACAAAGTTGTATTTTCAATATTTATATAATATCAAATACTATAAATTGTAAAATATTGCAATGGCTCAAGAAATAGAAAAATAAACTCCAAATGCTAACTAGCTAGCTATTGAACAAAGATGCCCAATATTACTTGGCAAGGGAAGACAAAACCTTGGACATTTTTATTTACATTTTGTCTAATACTTAAATTTTGATAATGTATTAAATGGTCTTGGCGTGCCACATGGCGCCCTCTTACTTCTCTTTTTTTGTTTTTTTTTAACCAAAATTTTTATTTAATAAATATTTTTTATAGATTTTAGTTTTAAACGTGGAACCCATTTTACATCAATTTTTTTAAACACTTGTTTGGGGATAAAAATACTATATTTATAAATAATTAAAATGTAATTTATGCATTCATTCATCCATTACATAAATTATGATTATTTTGATTTTTGTTTCACTTTCATTTAAAGTATTAATGTGACATCTCGTGTTTCTTCCTTTTTTTTCTTTTTATTTTTTCTTTTTTTGTCAATTTTTTGTTTTTTATTTTTAATTTAAACATATTTGTGAAAAAATACAATGAAAATGCCCATGCGACACCTCAATTTGGGTTTTTTTGTTTTTAATTACATAAATTTTGTAACAAAAGAAATTAATTTTCTTAACATTTTTTGTGTGTGGGTACCTAGTGTATGCTACATTTTTTTCATTTTTTAATATTTTTTTCATTTTTATATATTTAATAAATAATTATTTTGATTTTATTTTTTAATGACTCACTTGTATCAAGGGTGTGCCACATGTTATACCATTTGATTCTTTTTTCTATATTTACATTTTCGTTTTTTACGTTTTTATTTATTTAACATTTTTAAAACATTTTAAATTTTCTAAAAGTGGGACCTATTTGATTTAACTATTAAAAATATATTATTTTATTCTTTTCATTTTTCTCTCTTTTTAATTTGATAATTATTTATTTCATTTTATATACATATGTATTATATTAATAAATTTATTCTTTAGTATCTTAATTTAATAAAAATACTAAATTTATATATAATTAAGATGTAATCTATCTATCCATCAATTATATAAATTTGGTTATTATTTGATCTTCATTTAATTTTTGAAGTGACACCTTATATTTTTTTTCTTTTTTTAAAACTCTTTTACTATTTTTTTACAATATTTTTTATTTAGATAAATTTGTTTAAAAAACACCCCAATGTCCACACGTACCCTAATTTTTTTTATTTAGTTGTTTTGTTTTTTTAATTACAAAAATTTCACAAAAAAGAATCGATAAATAAGCAAAATAATTCATAATTTCATATTCAATAGGTTTCAATCCAATTCTTTCGGAAATTGTTTCTTTTTTTTTATTTTTTAAATTTTTTGTTTGTTTTTTCCCTTTTCTTTTATTTTTTTAATTAGATCATTTTTATGAAAAAAAATTAATATTAATAGAGGTGCCCATGTACCATTCTTATTTGTTTATTTTCTTTTATATTTATTTATTTATCTTTTAATTAAATCAATTTTATAATAAAATAAGACAATTAATAAAGATGATAAAATAATTAGTATTTAATAAATTTTTATTCATTTTGATTTTGATATGAATACTTTTATAAAAAATTGATATCGAATCAATTCAAATCAAATTTTTAATAAAAATGGGACAAATAAAAAACGGGTGTAGTCCTCTGTACCAAGCCATTATGTAGTAAATATATATATATTATTTAATTATATATATATTCCTTGATTTTTTTTTTGTTTAAAGTTTGGTATTAAATGAGTAGTACAGACAAAAAAATTAAAAATAAATATTTTTTATAATTTATATTTTATAAGAATAAGAGACCAATTTAGGTATTTACATTCACTTCCTTTCAGATTTTTTTACCTTTTGCTTTTTTTTTTTAATTAGGTAAAATTTTTAAAAAAAATGATGAATAATCAAATCTAAACGTATTGTCAACATATTCATTAATATTTTTTTACAAAAAATAAAAAAATAATGAAAAATAATATATTTTAATAATAATGTAAAATTAATTTTAAATTTTTATAAATATTTTAACTTTTTTATTAAATAAATAAATCAAATAACTTCACATGTAATGTGTCATTGAGATCAAATTAGTCATAAAAAATTAAATATAAAATTTGTTTATTAAATATATAAAGATAAAAAAGTTAAAAATAAAAAAAATATACGTGACATATCTTTGATACAGAAAAATAAAAAAATATTTAAAAAATTTATCAAATCTTCTTTTAAAATAAAAGAAAAAAAAATTTTAACTCGTGGTAACGCGCGAATACTTCACCTAATACATTAAAAAAATCCTCACTGAGCTATTGTTTCATTGAAACATCTATGTAGATGACACTTGTCCGAGATAAAAAACAAGTTTTATGAATTGTTAAAGACTATTTTTTATAGACCAAAAAAGACAAATGAGGGAATGAGAAGAGGAGAGGGGTTGCCGGTAGTTAAATTTGTGGAAACTTCATAAAAAAATCAAACCAAATACCCACATAAACAAAATAAAAATTACTAAAATCTACAAAAACGACTAGCAAATATGAATCAAATCACAAACCATCATTCACGAGGGGCTGGAGCGAACGAATATTGCAAATGCCTCAAATTTTAATCAATATTTTCAAACCAACACAAATACATTATCAAGCATGAAACTACAAAATCATTTAAAACAAAAATCAACAGAAAAGACCCTAAAAACAAATAATGCTAAAAAATCATCAAAAATTAAAATCAACTAAAAAATATGAAAAAAAATTCTTTAAAAACTCAATTAAAAAATTACAAAAAAATAGAAAAAAATGAAATAAATTAGAGAAAAGCCTTCAGTAAGGAAAAGTCTGTCTAGTAGTTTCAATGCTTTTTTTTTTTGAATCATTTAATCATCTCTTTTACATAATTATTATGATAGATAATCTAAACGAATAATAAGTTATTCATATTAGATTATTCTAGAGGTGCGGACAATGTCGATTATGGTTATAAAACTAGTTATAAAAATAAAAAAATTTTCATCACTTTTTCTTTAGCATTCTAATTGAGTAATGAGTGTATATAAATTTATTTTGAAAAAGAAATGAATAATAAAATGCTTTCTAATTCAAATTAAATATTTAAATTTAATATTATTTACGAACATTTGATTTAATGATTAATGTATATTTTCTTACCCAAAGAAAGTTTTTATCCCTTCCCCTGCAAAAACATAAACCTTAATGCTAACTTGAATGATTATTTATTTATATATAATTTGTTCATTCCTGAATATTTAGTTATACGTACTATGCAAAATTTTCCAATTTCATCAAAATTTATGATAGGAGTATTTTGTGGTTCAAAGAACAAAATTATCCTTTTATTTTAAAGTAATTCAATAGAATAATGACATTCTGATCATTTTCGCTGAACAAACATGATGTACCAACCTAATTCATTGAAGTTGATCCCAATCTTGCCAACTCAGCAACCCACTTAATAGACATGTGATCGATTTAATGTGTCGTACAAGTATTGAATGTCAACGTGCCATCCTAGATTGGCTCCTGCCATGTTGGCCCAAAATCCGACTCCCTGACTCAGGTTTTTCAGACTTGGTTACATCACTCTATAAATGTAAATACCTTATCTCATCTCACATCTCATTTTCACATTCTCTTTCAATTTTCTTAATTTTTTTAGTATCGATTTAAACATCATAATATAAGTACCGAAAATAACTCCGATCTTTATTAACCAATCTTTTACTTATGCTTTCAAGTCCTTGCCCTTTATCACAAACAATTTATGTGGGAGGTCTTATTTGGCATGGAGATGAAAATGAGCTTTGGGATTAAAAGTTGCGTTTCACCCTTGCTTCGAAGGTAAACGAATAAAAAATGTCTTGAATTATAAAGTGTTTACATGATCTTCAACATGAATTTCATATAATTTGATTACACTTAAATAATTACATGAGAATTTGGTCAGACAAATTATAAATTGAAACAGTAAAAGCAAAAAAAGAGTAAATTACTTCTGCGGACTTGATGGAAGAAGGAAATAAGAACACCGCTCTCTCTGGAAAATAAACGGCAGAACTACAACGTAATACAAAAAAGATAAAAGGATCATCACAAGAAGTGCAGTAAAACTGAAGCACAACCTAATGGAGTTGATAACAGAGTGAAGATCTCTTATAAGGATTCACTGTTGGGGGGAAGCTGTGGAACCTATTCTGAGACAGAAGAACCTCAAGATGAGGATATGGATGAGGATTCGGATAATGAGGAAACCTAAGATAAAGAAGAAAACGTAGAGGGGAAACTCCATGTTTCGTTAAGCAGTGAAGAGCGCAAACGAATCAGGGAGAGATGGGCTCACTCCCTGATTGTGAAAGTCTTTGGGCGTCCTATTGGATATAAATATTGGCAATGAAGATTGAACAGTTATGGAAACTCCTAGAAAGACCATGCATAGTTGACCTAGGCCATGATTACTTTCTTTTAAAATTTCAGCTGATAGAATACTATAATTATGTGCTCAAAGGACGCCCCCGATTTATTGGGGGGCACTTTCTAACTATAAGAAGGTGGGAACCTAACTTTAGGGCATCTAAGGCAACATTTTCATCAGTAGGGGTGTGGCTAAGGCTACCAGAGCTCCCAGTTGAATATTTAGATTTAGAAATTCTTAAAAAGATTGGCAGGCATATAGGAACTTTGCTTCGTGTAGATGGGCATACATTGGCAGGGGAAAGGGGGAGATATGCAAGGATATGTGTCCAACTAAACTGGGATAAACCATTTCCCAGGTCCATCAAAGTTGAAGGCAGAAGGCAAGTCATTGTTTACGAGAGCATTGGCACTTTATGCTTCAAGTGTGGTAGGCTGGGCCACCGAAAGGAATTTTGCCCTGAGGAGCGATTACAGAACCGTGTTTGTCCTATCATCGGGGGTCAAAAGCCACTTTTTTCGACACCCAAGGATACTCAGCAGAAGGGTCACAATGAAAAAGGATTCAGGCCATGGATGGTGGTTCAAAAAAAAAAAGAATCGTACTAAAGCAGCCACCAATGATCTAACGGGTAAAAGGAACAACCAACAAATTTTACCCCCAAGCCAAAAGGCTCAGTTGCGTTTTGAGGTGATTCAAGACGTCCAAAACAAGCAAGTTTTAGACCGGTCAGGTCTAAAAAAGATATAGGCCACTCAATCCATAAGTGTGGGGAAAAGGAAGAAAGTGGAGACAAAAAGGATGACTCTAAAAAAAGTGGACGCTCAAGACCAAGGGAAGATGACAAAACCTTCCTTTATCACGAGGAATAGTACTGAGAGGCACGCAGTAGGAATTAATTGTTTCGATAAAGGTGTTAATAAGAGTGAAATAACCTCTGAGAATTTAAGGTTAACACAAAAGGTGCATTTGGAAAGGAAAAACCCTATACCTACCATTTCTATGCATAACCAAAGTACGTCATCTGTCACCCTGCCCATGTATGGGGACTTGGATAAGCCCTCAGACAATTACAAACTATCCTTAATGAAAGGAAATAACCATCCAAGCTCCAGTGGAACAGAGCCAAGCTTAGAAGTTAGAATCTACCGCAACAGGCGCATCCTTTGGCAACATGCTTGCAACAACAGAGTGGGCAATCAACGAACCCACTTTGGTTTGGTAAGAAGGGGAAGAAGGGAGGCAAACCTGAGGATGAGGGGATCCCTAAACAATGTACCAAATCAAATAATGGATAATCGACAGAGACAAGCAAGTTGTGAGAATCAAAGACTTCAATCCCAGATTTCTCTTTTGGACTCAAGGCACATTTCATTCATATTCAGAGCTCGGGGCTCGACCGGGATCGCCTTCGAAGGCTAACACCGCCCAGACACAGAAATAGAAGCTCAGCTCGAGAAGGTAGAAGACAACTTCTAAGAAACAAAAACAGAAGAGAAAACTCTCTGTGTCACTACTAATCTATCCGAAACCAATCTAAGATTCAGAGGCGTCAAACTCAATACCATTCAAAGAAGTTTCTTCGACAGAAGAGAGGTTGACCCCACCTATATGGATCCTATCGATCCAAGAGGCTTTGCTAGCTCAACATCCGATAGAAGTGATGATGAACAGTATACGTGGGAGGAAGATGAAAGTAGGAACAAGCTAAATGGTTCAATAGTTTCGAATATGCGTACACTCCTCCATATTGCTAGAGGAAAAAGTTCTAGTACACAACGTAGAGATGTACCCCAAGCTGAAGAGAGTAATGCATAGGCCGATATAGAGGGAGATGCAGGTAACCCCATAATTCCAAAGACTAGCAATGAGCCACCACACTATCTAATCACATCCTATGTCGATTTTACTATGAAATTATAGGGGAGCGAAGACACTCTGAATTTGTCTGCACGGCCAGAGAACTTGTGGGAATGCATGGGCAAGAGATCACGGTCATCACAGAGACACGTGTGTGAAGGGAGGAGGTTCATTCAATTATTGATAGGCTACCTTTTGATGTCTGAAAAGATACTATCACAATTGGATTCAATGGAGGAATTTGGCTCCTTTGGCAATCGAACCTGGTCGACACGAGTGAAGTGTATGTAACAGAGCAGGAGATTCACGCCACTGTATGGGTAAGAACCTCCAATTTAACTTGGTTAGTTTTAGCTATCTATGCTAGCCCTAGGTTTCATGAATGTAAATTGCTGTGGGGAAATTTACAAATTGTTGCTGCCCACCATGATTACCTATGGCTAGTGGTAAGGGATTTCAACGATGTTATCAGGAATGAGGATAAGAGAGGATGTCGTGGGCAAGGTTTAGGGCCTTGTATGAGTGCCTCAATAATTGTAAACTTATCGACCTTGAGTTTGTGAGACCAAGATTCACATGGTCAAATCATAGAGGGATTAGGGATCTAATTCAAGAATGCATTGACATGGCTTTCACAAACACCTCGTGGTGTCTTAACTTCCCAGAGGCTTGTGTTAAACATGTGGTTAAAACACACTCGAATCACTGTCTTATCCTGATTAAGTTCAAGGAAGTGACATTGAAGCATGGTCCTAAACCTTTTCGTCTACAAAAAATGTGGTTTGACCACAAAGAGTTCATGCTGCTGGTCCAGTATAGTTGGAATCAAGAAAACGGTTCTTTAGCTTCCATTGTCGATATCCTTAGGAAAACTATTCAGGAATGGAATAAAAATTCCTATGGAAACGTGTTCACGAGGAAAATGAGTATACTGGCAAGGCTAAAAGGAATCGAAAAAGCCTTGAAGGTCTTCCTAAACCAATTCCTATTAGACTTGCAAGGAATTTTGATTGACGATTACAAATAGCTTCTCAAGACTGACGGGGTTATATGGGCTCCGAAATCCAGGGTAAGTTGGCTCACTGACGATGATGAAAACATAAGGTTTTTTCATATGTCAACCATCATAAGAAGAAGATTTAATCGAATTGTGGGTTTAGAGGATCATGAGGGTAAATGGAATACTGAGCCCAGTAGCTTGAGACAAATAGTGCAAAAACATGTTTATGACCTTTATACAACATTGCAGACAGAAAGAAGTTGACGGTATGAGGATGGGCCAAGACAAATCGTTCAACTCTCATAGCAGGACAAAGAGGAATTCCATAAACTAGTTTCAAAACTTGAAATCTAGAAAACGATATGGTCCTTTAAAGCTTTCAAAGTTTTAGGGCCAAACGGACTACATCCTTATTTTTTTCAATGATGTTGGAATATTGTGAAGGGAAAAGGTTTGTGAGACAATCAAAGGCATTTTCGAGGCCAGATCAATACCTGACTCTCTTAATAATATGCTTTTATCTTTGATTCCCAATATGGCTAACCCATCATGCATTGACCAATTCAAACCTATTAGTCTGTGCAATACCACCTATAAAATTGTTGCAAAGATTGTGATCCAGAGGCTCAAGCCTTTCTCAAGCCTTTTTTGAATAAAATAGTATCTTTTTTCCTAACCAGCTTTATACTAAAAGAGAAAAGTTATGATAATTACATTATTATCTAAGAAATGATTCATGTTTTTAAAAAATATAAAGCAAAAAAAGGGTAAATGGCTATCAAGCTGGATCTTAAGAAAGCTTATGATAGATTTGAGTGGAGTTTCATTAGAAAGGTTTCATCTTTTTTTGATGTGCCTACATCCTTGATTAACATCATCATGAGCCGCATCTCATCCTCTTCAATCTCAATGGTTTTGAATAGAAGAATGCTCGAAAGCTTTAAACATTTAAATGGCATAAGATAGGGAGACTCTCTATCCCCGTACTTATTCATCATGTGTATGGAATTTCTTAGCTTGAGGATTTTAGAAGCATGTGAAGAAAAGAGATGGTTAACTTGTAAACCATCTAGAAATGGCCCTCATTTTTTTTATGTTATCTACACAGATGATATAATTCTTTTTGGAAAGGCAAATAAGGGTATTATTGAAGCAATGAAGGATGTGTTCAGTTCTTTTTATATTGAATTTAGCCAGAAGTCAATCTCAACAAGTCTTGTATTTTTTTCTTGGCCAACACTAGCTGCAGTCATAGGGAAAGTGCAACAAATACCTTATAAATTCATAAAACTGAAGATTTGGGTAGATACTTGGGGTTTCCCTTCATAAAGGCCTGGTTAGTAAATATGAGTATTCTTTTTATCATTGATAAAGTTAGGGCCAAGTTGACGGGATGAAAGATAGGCTTGCTATCTCCTACAAAAAGATTATTGTTGATCAAATATATTATTCAAATGATCTTGTCTTATTACATGTAGTGTCATGCACTACCCTCAAGTGTTTGTTAGAAGCTCGATAGAATCAATAAAAAAATTTTATGGAGAGACTCAAATTAAAAGAAGAAAATACACCTCTTAAATTGAAAAAAAATAACCACGAATAAATATGAGGGTGGATTGGGATTAAGGGATGCCAAGATACAAAACCAAGCCTAATTAATCAAGTTGTTATGGAGTTTTATCCATCACAATGAGGAATCGTGAGCCCTAACTATTCAAACCAAGTATCTGAGTAGTGAGGATAATCAAAAACCAAAATAAAACCCCTTAATAACATTGTGAGCAACGAAGTGGACAGGTCTTATCATTGAAAGAGGTATTGGTTGGGTTATCCAAAATTGGGGTAAACATCAATTTTTGGTATGACAAATGGATGGGGGGTGAAACAATACGATCTCTGGTCCAGGGACCCCTTAATAGAATGAGAAAAGAATTAAGGTCAAAGAAATTTTGCATTTTTTTCATCTTTAGAGGGAGTGTTCGGTCTCCTCTCAATTACTGTCATCGATAATCGAGGCTATGTATGCTATTGCTACTCGATTATATAAACACAGAGATGACATACCTTATTGGATAATTGCTGAAAATAGAGACTTTACTACTTGCTCAGCTTACGATCTTATAAAAAAAAAAGTGGTAGTGCTAAAAAAATGAATGGAATTAGATTTGGAGATTAAAGGTTCTACCTAAACTCTAATTTTTTATTTGGCAATGTATGCATGCTATTTTACCTACAAAAGGTTTCCTCATGCAACGTGGAATTAATGTTCAAAATTAGCTACATGTTATGTGGCCAAGGGCAGGAGGACATTCATCACCTTTTACTTGAATGTCAGTGGACTAAGCACGTATGGAAAAACCAAGGGGAGGTTGCAGACCTGTCTTTGGGTGACGATTTTAGGGATTGGGTCCAACTTAATGCTACTGACAATAGAAGATTGAAATACCATTCTATTCTCTGGGGCTTGTTATTCGTCCATATCATGTGAGAAGTTTGGCTAAAGAGAAACCATAGGACTTTCAATGAGAGCAGCAGAAAGGTAGATGTAGTCAAGCATGCAATTGAAAAAGTGAGGGAATTCTATGCCTCAAACCAGAGACAGGGGAGAAACATCTAAGTTTTTTTCATTCCTGTTAAATGAAAAACACCTGAGTGTAAACAATTTAAACTAAACATCAATGGGTCATTTATAGGAAATCTAAGAAGAGCAAGGGCTGGTACCATCATTAGAGACCATACAAAAAAATAAGTGGCTGGCTTTGCTAGATTTATAGGATATGGAACGAATACATTGGCTAAATTATAGACTTTTATGATGGGTTAATGTTGGCTAAACAACTAAATATTTCTAACCTAGATGTGAAAATAGATGTTGTTACTGTCATTTCTTTGATAAAAAACTAATCCACTCCTAACCATGTTTGCAACCTTTAATCGATGACTGTAAGAAGTTACTGTAAGGAATTAGTTGTTATGAAGTCATGCATACCTTCAGAAAAGGAAACATTTGTGCTGATGCTTTGGCTCATTTTGGTAGTGATCGCTTTGCAACTTTTGAATATTATGAAAACCTTTTTGTGTTAAGTTACTGTAAGGAATTAGTTGCTATGAAGTCATGCATACCTTTAGAGAAGGAAACACTTGTGCTGATGCTCTGGCCTATTTTGGTAGTGATCGCTTTGTAACTTTTTAATATTATGAAAACCTTTTTTTGTTATTTCAAGAACTTTTTATTTTTATTTTGAAGTTGCTGTCAATAATGCAGTAGGAAAAACTTTGTATCGTATTATTTTATGAACTTTATCTAGTTTCAATTTCTTACCAAAAAAAAAAAGTAAAAGCATCTCCATAAAAGGGCTTTACGGTTGGCTTAAATCGATTGAGGAAAGAAATTTTTTTAGCAAAATTAAAATGTTTAAGAGATGCAATACTAAATGTAACTTTTTTTTTTGTAGAAAACTAGAACTAGATAAAAATCATAAAATAGTATGGTACACAGTTTTTCCTGCTGCATCATCAATAAGTAGGTTCAAAATAAAATTAGAAGGGTCTTGAAATAACACAAAAGGGTTCATAACATTCATACATTGCAAAGTGATCACTACCAAAACGAGCCAAAGCATCAGTACAAGTGTTCCCCTCTCTGAAGGTATACATGACTTTGTAGCAACTAATTTCTAGCAGTAATTTCTTGTAGTCATTGATTAAAGGCTAAAAACACAGATTAGGAGTGGATTGGTTTTTAATAAAAAAAATGACAGCAGCAACATCAATTTTCACATTCAGGATAGAAATATTAAGATGTTTAGCCAACATTAACCCATCCCTATGAGCCCATAATTCAACCAATGTATTCATTCCATATCCTATAACTCTGGCAAAGCCAGCCACCCATATTTTGTATGGTCTCTAACGATAGTGCCAGCCCTTACTCTTCCTGGATTTTTTATAGATGACCCATCAGTGTTAAGCTTAAAACGTCCACACTCAAGCGGTTTCCATTTAACAAGAATGAAAGAGACTTGGATGTTTCTCCCATCTATTTGGTTCAAGGCATAGAATTCTCTCACTTTCTCAATTGCATGCTTGATAACATCCACCTTTCTGCTGCTCCTTTTGAAAGTCCTATGATTTTTTTTTAGCCAAACTTATCACATGATATGGACGAATAACAAGCCCTAGAGAATAGAATGGTGTTTCGATCTTCTATTATCAATAGCATTGAATTGGACCTAATCCTTAAAATTGCCACCCAGAGACAAGCCCACAACCTCCCCTTAGTTTCTCTATACATTCTTGGTCCATTGACAGTCATGTAAAAGGTGCTGAATGTCTTCTTGCCCTTAACCACATAACATGTAACTATTTTGAACATTTATTCCACATTGTATGAGAAAACCTTTCATAGATAAAATCTTATGCATACATTGCCAAACAAAAAGTTAGAGTTTAGGTAGAGCTTTCAATCTCTAAATTCGATCCCATTTAGTTTTCCTAGCACTACCACTTTTTTCTTTTATAAGATCGTAAGCTGAGTATGAAGTAAATTCTCTATTTACAGAAGCTATCCAATAAGGTACATCCTCTCTTTATCCATATAACTGAGCAGAAATAGCTCTCATAGCCTTTATTACCAATGACGATAATTGAAAAGAGATCGAACACTCCCTGTGAAGAGGAAGAATGTGTAGAATTTCCTTGACCTTAATTCTTTCCTCTCTTCTGTTAAGGGGTCCTTAGACCAGAGATCATATTGTTTCACTCCACATCTATTTGTCATACCAAAAGCTAGTGTTTGCCCTATTTCGAATGACCTAACCAAGATCTCTTTCAAAGATAGGACCTACCCACTTCATCGCTCTCCATGTTACTGAAGGGTTTTATTTTGGTTTTTAATTATCACTACTCAAATACTTGGCTTGAATGGTTAGGGCCCAAGGTTCCCCCTTGTGATGGATAAACCTCTATACCAACTTGGTTAGTTAGGCTTGGTTCTATATCTTGGCATCCCTTAATCCTAGTCCACCCTCATTTTTATTCTTGGTTATTTTCTTCAAATTTATGATGTGTATTTTTTTATTCTACTTTGAGTTTTCTCATAGAAATTTTTTATTGATTCTATCGAGCTCCTTGCAAATACTTGAGGGTAGTGCATGACATTGTATATAATAAGAAGGGATCATTTGTACAACAGATTTGATCAACAATAATATTCTTACAGGAGAAAGCAAGCTTGCCTTTTATCCTATCAACTTGGCCCTAACTTAATCGATGATAAATGAATACTCATATTTACTAACCCGACCCTTATGAAATGAAAACCTTAAGTATTTG